TGTAAAGTTAATCATAACATTGTATCTATATTGTTTCTATTGTACACGTATGAAAAATAAACAAGTCTTAACGTGTTTCTTTCAGGGAGTCATATTAGTTTTTGTTTTCATTACATGATGTACTACTGATAGTTTCTCAAGTAGCTGACATACATGTAACTATTGAACATAAGTCAGTAAAATAGTCTAAATGAGTAGGAATTATACAATAATTGTACACTAACTGAAATGTATACCAGACTTGTATGAATATTAATTTAATGTTGGCAACCCAGTATTTTATAAGACATACATATTTCTGTTTGTGTTATTTGTAAATATCAAAGTTATCGAGCTGTCAGCTTGTTAGAGGAATTTAAAAATCAAATGAAGTTGAAGAACACAACACAAATTGCAAGATGGACGATACTGTAATTTCTTTACGTGTCTAAACAATAAAATAAACGTTTGGAGACAGCTTGACTTGGTAATGAAGAAAACTTTAATATAAATGTATCACATTTCGACAAGATTATGTCATCCTCATGTACATAATATGGTCAAACGTCGTACAGTTATAATAAAGGTTCTTCATCACCCAATAAAGCTGTCTCCAAACGTTTATTTTATAAAAAAGTGGGTTACTCATCATCAAATTTAAATACACCTTCAATAAGTTAGACTATATACAGCTCTTGGTGAGTTATATTTGTAAAGTTATATTTAAACGACAACTATGTGAGTTCTAGGTGGAAAATAGAAAATGACAACTTAAAAGCAGAAACTAATTTCCTATCAACACTACCCAGAACAACTGACTCGAGTACACACAAATATAATATTCGTTGTACTGGAAAATGAAATTGTAAATCTCATACATGTAATTTTTAAAAGCAGATATTATGAATATCAAAAGTAGAATTTTCTGACTGAAACTGTCTCAACTTTTGACCGATTGCTGAAAGTCTGGCACAGTATTAAGTAGTGAACATAAAATGCTTTAGTTGTACAATACTGTTGAAAAACAAGAATTGTACTCTGTCATTTATGTTCCGTCAACTATTGTGAATACACATTTAATGTTTTGTATCATCATATAACGTGAAAGTTAATCATCTCTAGCTTAGTATGGTGAACATTAAGTTTATGTAGACAATACATGATGATGTAGAGTTTGAACAATTTATTTTCAGTTTAATTATACTGTACAATCATGAAAAATGACAATGTATTACAATTGACTTGTTATATATTAATTATGTAAGCATTTTACATACAAAAGATCAGGAAATGTAAAAGTAGGATTAGATATAGAAGCGAAAAACTATAATCAGTACATTAAATGTATACTAAACCAACTTTCTCGATCAATAAATATTAGATGTTATAAAAGCTTTCCGGCAATAAGTTAAGTGTATTACTATCCTCATAGAGAAACATTATAAACACAATTGTAAAAATATTTTATGTAAAAAGATTAGGAAGTACGAACGTGCCAGGTTTATGGGGCCAGATTCTTTGCAGTAGGTGTCTGTGACTTGTTGGCGATAAATTCGAACAATAAACAGACAGCACACAATCTACTTGTTTTAAAATAATATATTAAAAATAATTCAAGGTATGTACAAAAATATGTTTCATTATTGGTTATCAAAGTTGCATCTAAAGCTTTAAATTAAATAATTATATTTTACGTCAAAGTCCATAGAGGCTGGTTCAATTTACTTTAGATCCCAATTGACAACATGAATCATTTCTTTTCTAGTCTTTTATCACAACAGAATCAGTAATAAATTCACTTACGTTACTCCGAGAGTTACCACAGTTGTATACAGAGCTTTAAATAATTCTCTTTTACATCAAAAGCCCACACAGACTAGTTCAGTTACTTTGGAGCACAACTGTCGAGGCCAATTATTTTTCTCTACTCTGTTACCTCATGGGTTACCAAAGTTGTATCCAGAACATTAAATATTTGTCTCATTTTCGTCAAACCACACAGGCGGGTTTAATTACTTTAGAACAACCTTTGACGAGACAAATCATTCTCTTTATCTCTGTTAAACTATCAAACTCACTTTAAATATTGCCTGTTACAGCTAAATTAACAATCTTGCAGTCTAACTTCACTTTCACTAACTTAAAGTTTTCTGACTTAACTTGTGTTCAGTTGGTCGACTGTAAATAAATAAATATATATATATAGGCCTGAGGCCTAGAACATTTTACAAACTACGAGACGCTATGATGTGACAATACTCACTTATGGCAACGAGCAAAATACAGAAGGTTCGAGTAATATGACGTCAATTTACAGAAGTCTAACTACACACACAACATACCGAGTTACGTAATGAAATTTGTCATAACTATCGCCTTTAAAACACTCTTGTTATCATTAAATATTAGATCACTAAGTGAACTAAATAACAACTCTTACACTAAAAGTCTTGTTTATCAAACAGAATTAGGGCACCAAAAAGTAAGGAAACAACGTAGGAATGGGCATGGGAACACTTGGTTGTTTTCACATGGTGAAACCTCAAAGGTGGTAGCTTTTTCTTTGGCTGGATTAACGGCTAAGGTTTGTTTCGCATATTCATTTAAGTGCCTAAGACGTGAGTCTCCTACGTAAGAACAAAACCTACCACAGCCAAAGTCTCACACGGATTTGCTCCAGCACTCTGAACTGAAAACAACAGCGATAAGTTGCATAACTTATCTTTGTGTTGTTTTCAAACCTAAATGTGACCTATTGACATCTAAGGTTGTATTTGAAACATTTTTCGAAATATGCCTTTCAAGGAAACAAAATGAGAGAAATTAAGAAAATAATATGTCGAAAACCTCGAAAAATCTTTGTCTCAGCGAAGAAAGCATTACTGCAATAATAGAGATAAGGTTAAAAACAGTAATCTGCTATGATAAAATTGTTTTTCTAACTCAGAACAATGATATCATTTACATGATATCATTCACTGTCCGCCTATAGAAACCTTTGTAAAACACGCACAAAATGCTCAATAAGACCATCCGCCTATAGAAACACTATGTAATATATAAATGAAAATTATAAAAATAAGTTAAGATTTGAGTGCAGCCCTACGAGACTGTGAGCCTCTGTAAATTGTATTTACAGTTTTACTTATAGTGTGAAACTGAATTAAATCTAGACAATGAACACATGTTGAGACAATGATATCATTTACATAACCTTCAACATTATTTAGTTACAGAGCCATAAAATAGAAAATCAATCTCCTCTTGCAACGCCCAACTGTCACATCCTCTCTTTCAGAACTTGCCAACAGTAAAACTTAGATGTATATATATTACGTAGCATAAAACCCATGTAGTAAGACAGTTACTTTTTAATATTATTTTTCCAAATATCCGACGTCTAATGTACATGTTCATTAATACGCAGGCGTTAACCTAAAACAAGTTCATTTTAATGACAGCTTTAGTCATCAGATATTTTTTTATTTTGATAAACTTGAACATACGAAGTAGGAAACAACTCGAAGGAAAAGGTCGTCAAGAATGATTAAAGAACATATAAACAGAGATTTATTTAGGTGCCCTAACCTCGACATCAGAGCTCACTTAAACTCTATTTATCGATAATATAGACTCATGTGATTCTGGAGGATCACCCAATCATCACGTTCCCTCGTGGGACACCAGTAAGTGTACAGACTCACCACGCT